ACAGAATATTAACTTCGTTAAAGCTATTTTTAATAATCTAATTTCCATATTTAAGGATTTTTGTAACAAACAACAGCTTTAAATCGTTTACTAAAGTTGCAAAAATTTAAACTCTTGATTTCTTCAAAATCTTCTTAAAAACTGCCAAGTGCATGAATTAAGTTTTTTAACCGAGCGTTAATTTCAGATTTAAGGGCTCTGCTAACATTTATTTTTATTTTATACAAAGTAAGAAATAATAAATAAGCAAGCTTAAAAATTGATACTACCTTACAGCCTGAAATATTTCGTTATAGCTTGTTCTAATCAAAAACATTTTTTAAAGCCGAAATATTAAGTAACTAATAAATATTTTTATCGAAAGAAAAATTGTTACATAATCGATATCGTACTGTGTTCAATGTTTTTAGCTAGCAAGAAAAATGATTAATATCATCAATACTCAAAAAAAGATCGTGTAAGATGTAAAGAAACTTGAAATTCTGGAATTCATTTTCTGAACAATTTATCATTTTTCTCAATCCTGTCATCTAAGGAAAGGCTAGCGTTTTTCTCTTAATCATTAGTGCTCTGTGCGTAATGATGACTTTATTAAAGAACTTTACGAGCATCTTGGTATAACCTTCTTGACATTTATTTTTTTATGTTTTTAGTCAAAGGATTGCATTAGATTTACTATGAGGAGATTAATTAACTTGTTGACTCGTTAATAAGCTAAAAGAATTCCTTTAAAACGTAATATTACCTAATGTAGTCAAATTCTAGCTTAGGGAAACCGGCCATCACAATTTGTGGTTGGGGAGAAACAAAAAGTGGCAATCATTCACTGGATACAAACTCCTTGAAAAAGTGTTTTTTTAGGACATAAAAATTGCGCTAATAAACAATTTGCTTTTAAATTGACTTTCAATAAAATCTCTTAAGCGAATTTCCTCACATAACAAAAATTTCATCAGAATGTTTAATAATATTGAAATAATATGAAGCAGATGTTGCCTATAATCTTTTTGAAGAGTGTCTCTACTTGTGTTCTAGTGAAAGCAATGTAAGCAATATTTTGAAATAATTCTTTATAATATTTATTAACTTGAAAACTTTTAAATATCAACCAAAAACAATTAACAGAAAAAGTTAGCCACCATTTATACAATAAGCGTGCGAACTAACATTATTTAAAAAGCAGTTTAAAGGGGACTACTAAAACTACAACCGAATGTTCATTATATACCGGAATCATTATAGTAGGGCTAAACTGCACAGTCATTAAAATCAAAAACCATGCATTAATATATATTCTATAACATTAATTACTACTTTTTTGCTATTTTGTAGATCTGTTAAATTTGCTCAATTACACTCTAAATAAAAACACCCATTTCTGCATAACTAAGTATTGCTTTCCAGAAATTAATACCATGTCTATTATCATTACACTTATTAACTAAACAATTGTAATGTGACAATTATTTTTTTGTAATGTGTAATTGTAGTGTATGGCAGCATAAGTTTACCAATGCTTTGTTTACCAAAGACAAAGAGGCAGTTGTTTCGCAAAAAAATCTCTTAGGAAGTAGTAGCTTTCCGGTAGCAGGTTCTTCATACTGTGTCTGTTGTTACAATAAATAATTAATTTACAAAAAATATTTGTTTATTTATCTATTCAACGGCTTAATTTAAATTGTTTTTAATCGAAATCTAATAGAATTTTAACAATAATAGACTGATTTATTTTTCTATATATTTTTTCGTTAAAATGTCATGTTTGTTATCCAATTTGATAATAGACAAGACAAATTTAATGCCATCAACACTCTGAATCACTTCGTGTTATTAAGTTTGTGCTATCTGTTCTGAAATTTAACGAGTTGTTGTAGTTTATTTACGTCGCACTAGAGCTGCACAATGGGCTATTGGCGACGGTCTGGGAAACATCCCTGAGAATGATCCGAAGACATGCCATCACAATTTTGATCCTCAGCAGAGGGGATGGCACCCCCGCTTCGGTAGCTCTACGACCTTCCCGCGAAGTCGAGCACTATACGGTAGAACAGTTTAACGAGGACCAATACCGCACACACTCGGTCCCTACGCAGACTGATCCAAGTGGTCACCCACCCGCACACTGACCGTAGCCAGTGATGTTTGACTTCGGTGATCTGATGGGAACCGTGTCTTAACGATCAGTCCATTGCGAGACTGCAATTTAACGAGAGACAAACCATTTTTTGTAAGAAGCACACGAGTTTGTATACCAAATTTATTTATTAACTGTTACACATACGGGGTACAGCTTTGATACGAACCCACTCCTTACATTCTAAATGGCGTTTGGCGGAAAGACTGGTGGGAAAAAAACATTCCAATTATTTATCTATTAATTTATTGTTACCCATACAAATGCAGGCTTGAGTGCTCTTTCAAAATTTAATTTATTATAAGTCATTGTCAATTTGAAGAACAGATAGAGAAGGACGTTACCAAGATGTGGTTGGTACTGTAAAGGTTGCGTGCTCGAATCCCGGCGTATCCTTGGGTTAATCTTTGCGACGTCCTTTTCTATCTTGCGTTATCTGTTTATCGACTCTTAAGGGCTTTATGCTGAACTTGGTAACGAGCACACAAACCTCCATGGACATTTGTAACAATAAAGAAATAAATACGTAGATGTCTCTAGGAATTCAAACCCTCTGCCTACACGCTATCACTTTAAGATGTTTGGACTGCCTGTTGCGTAACACTTAAGTTAATGATTTAGTTTAGCCTTGTCCAAGCGTTTGTATACTTACCGTAGATGCTTTACTTACGTCGTACTAGAGCTGTACAATGGGTTATTGTTGATGGTCTGGGAAACATCCCTGAGGAGTATCCGAAGACATGCTATCAAAATTTTGTGAGGCCACTTCCTCAATTTAGACACAGATCTGAAGAGGAGGGAAATTTTTTTCGCCAACCACAGGGCGAGCCAGTATATCGTATGTACTAGGTGAGTCTTAACGGAGTCGAGTATCGAACTCCAGCCCCTCCGCACTGGAGTCTTATTCTCAAACCACTGCCTTTGTACATTTACAAATGCGTAGTGATGTATAGTTTTACGGTAAATGTTAATTTATAACTTTCGTAGAAGTAAAAATAACTAACAGGTCAAAAACAAAGCAACTAGGTTTTGATAAATAAAATAGAGGCTACTAATGATATGTTTTAAAGTTATATCAAATTATACTGTACAGTTAAAATTATGGCAGTTTTGTTAAAAGTGACCAAATTTTGAGCAATCTATTCTTCAACCTGAACATGGCTTATAATGAATCATGCTTTGTAATTAAGCGCACAAGCCTACATATATCTGTGCAGAAATAATTAAATACTTGGAATAATTAGTCTCGTCTTTCCGTCAAATGCCATTTAAAATGGAGGTAGCGAGTTCAAATTAGGGTCGTGTATTTAATCCAAAGTATGCCTTGTCTCCTGCCTAAATGCAGCAAAACAGGCATTACAAAAATCGTTAAAACAGTGCAAAAATATCGAACCCGCTATCTCTACGCTCATTTGGCTGAGGGACAACACACCATGAGGCCCCAATGACAAACATTTTTTTTATTTTTTATTTCTACATCACCGCCCTGTATGTTTTTCAGCCTACCGCTCTGAAGAGTATTTGTAGTAGGCTCGAGTACCGCTATAGCGTTTGATGTATATTCTTGCTTTTTTTCGTTAAGCATTGTTATCGATTTTTCAAAATGAAAAGAGACAATGGTAAACTGAGGGAGAGTTCTAAAATATTTATTTTGTAATTTTAGCGTAATAATTTATGGAACGTATGAAAAACTTTTTATTAAGTAAAATTTACAGTACCGGTCAAAAGTTTAGAGTCACTCTTGAATTTTTAAAAATGAGCAAATAACAAGTTTTTTACATTGAAAATCGCAGCAAATTATATCTATTTTGACAAATATAGGTACACTTATGTGATAAGAACTATAATTTTATGTATAACTTATGAATTTCATCTAATATTTGATTCTTCGAACTATCCTCATTTAGCCTTAATCACAGCAGAGCATATTTTTGGCATTCTTTCAGTTAGTTTTTTCGATGTTCTAGTTGAGATCTGCTTCCAGCAACTAAGTAAAGATTCCCAGTTTTTTTTTTGATTGGTATATCGCATTTTTCTGACATTTCTATCGAGTTCATCCCACAATGGCTCAATAGGATTAATATCGGGGAATTAAGGGGGCCAATCCATGTATTTCAGTACTTTTTTCTTCTCTTCTGATGCAATGTAGTTTCTGCACAGTTTCGATGTATAGTTTGGATCGTTATCTTGGGGAAAAACAAATCCTCGACCTACGATCCTCTGTCCTCATGGAAAAGCGTAACGCTGCAATATTCTTTGATAATATTTTTTATCCACAATTCCCTCTATTCTTACAAGATTTCGCCCAGTAGTGGACTGATCGTTAAGACACGGTTCCCAGCAGATCACCGAAGTCAAGCACCACTGGCTACGGTCAGTGCGCGGGTTTGTGACCACTTGGATCTGTCTGCATAGGGACCGAGGGTGAGCAGTATTGGTCCTCGTTAAACTGTTCTACCGTAACGTGTTCGACTTCGCGTGCAGGTCGTCGGGCTACCGAAGCGGTGGTGCCATCCCCTCTGCAGAGGATCAAAATTGTGATGGCATGTCTTCGGATCATCCTCAGGGATGTTTCCCAGAACGTCGCTAACAGCCCATTGTGCAGCTCTAGTGCGACGTAAATGAACAAATCAATCAATCAATCAATCTTACAAGATCTCCTAAGTTTGTCTCCCCTCCGCAGAAGATCAAAATTGTGATGGCATGTCTTCGGATCATCCTCCGGGATGTTTCCCAGACCGTCGCCAATAGCCTATTGTGCAGCTCTAGTGCGACGTAAATTAACAACAACAACCAAAGTTTGTCCCCGGCGAAAAATCCACAAACCAGGACTGCGCCTCCACCATGCGTAACAGTTGGTAGTAAACATTGATTTGTCATGCGTTCTCCAATTAAACGAAGATCATGTTACCTTCGCTTGCTTGCAAACAACTCAAATTTTGACTCGTCAGTAATCAAAACAATTTACCACTGTTCTAAAGACCAGTTAACATGTTTTTTAGCCCATTGCATTCGTTTTCGTTGAACACTGTTTTACTTTTTCAAAAGAGGTTTTATTGCAGCTAAACGATCTTTTAAACCATTGTCACGAAGTCGACGATGTGCAGTAGTTACTGACACAGTTTTCTGTCTAGTAACATTCAATTCCTAACCGTTGTTGTAGTTGTTGTTGAAGTTAATTTACGTCCCACTATAGCTGCACGATGGACTATTCAATTCCTAACGGGTTTCATGTGCTGCTCGAGACCGCTGCTGCTTACTTTGAATGCAGATAAACTTATCGTCACGTTTGGATGTTATTTCAGGTCTCCCGGATCGTTGAAAGCTCTTATTTTGGTAAGTTTCCCTTTTTCTTTTGCAAAGTTCTGAGAACAGTGGTCTGGGAAAAAATTAGTTTTAGAGGCAATTTAATTGCTTGAATAGCCTTCTTCATGAAGTGCAAAAATAACTCTACATGTTTCTACCCTTATTTCTGATTTTTTACAGATATTTCTGCTATGAATTGTATAAAAAAATGGAACTTTTGTTTTTAATATGTTCCAGTTATTCTGGCAAATTAAGGTTCTTATGTCAATATTTGAAATGCGTTATGTACATGAACTTTACTTATAATGAACCTTACAAAAGAAGATGAAAAGTAAATTGCTTATAGACTAAAAATTAATGAAATATTTTAAATAAATTATGCTTTTTTTAGTGTAGGTATTTACATGCACTTTCGTTCATTTCATAATTAACTACAGAAAAGATACAAAATGAAAAAATAATGAACAGTTTAAAATGGAAGCAGCGTTTTGTTAAGTTTATTGATGCTTATGTTTGATAAATTACATGTTTAAGTCAGAAACATTTAACTATTTGTGAAAGTTTTGAAATAAATGCAAGTGAGTCTAAACTTTTGACTGGTACTGCACTTTTCAGTTTTGTATTTGTCACTAAGTGTAAGGCAGTAATAGCTATTATCTTGAAAACCAGAATTTCAGGGAAACTGTGTTACCATAGTTAATGATAAAACTACCAAAGAACTATTTAAACACCTTTTATTTTGTTACCATAATTAAGATTTCTTTGACCAAAAGTGATTTTATCATGCAATTATGGTATTACCTGATTTTTTTTTCTCCATGTATGTTTGGTAACAAAATGCGAATACTACAACCTAATATTGTGCTTAATGCTGTGCTATGCTAAAATGTATCACATCAGTAGAGTTTCGACAAACACAGTTGCATTACAGCACTTTATTTGCTTTCAATTTGTTAGTTTAAGCTTTTTCTGGAAGAAATAAAAAAAATACGCAATATTTTTCTGAACATTAAATAAAACCTCAATTTTCCATACACAAACTTCATATCATTTAAGTCATTTGAAATATTAAATTTCCACTTAAAAATTGAAATATTCCATGCGATTGAATATTGTTTCATAAGTATAGATGGGAGACAGCATTTCAAATGATTCATTGTTGTTGACGTATGCCATTAAGGCAGAGGAGTGCGATTGTTCTTTTCTCCAGTGGAGCCATCTATGGCCAAGAATTCCACTTCTGCCGCACCCATATGTCACACCCGTTTATAGGGCGGACCCATTCATACATTCAATCATTCATCCACAGATCGTAATTTTGACCTGGATCTGAGAACGATCGATTTCCAATGCATTACCCCCAGATTTATTGATTTGTTATGGGAATATGGAGGACTTTGAGACTCGACAGATTTAACATGCATCAGTCACCATTTACTACACGGGGAGAATCGAACCCACGACCACTTGGACATGGGCCCAGGTTATAAATATTTCATTATATATTGATAATGGAGCACTTATTCTTCAATATAAATGAGTAAAATTTGAATCTTTTATAATAAATGTTACTATAAACAATTTTTTTGTGTGTGCGTTGGCATTTGTTAAATAAAATGTCTAATAATGTCTGAAAAACTGTAGCATTCACCTTAATTCTCAAATTCTTGCAATTACAACTTCAAAAATATTTGATAATGCATTAGTAAAATTGAACATCAAGTGAATTTAATTTGGTTGTACTGTCAATGAAGAGGTAAATTTCGTAATATTCGCTGTTAAGGCGAACTGCAATCCAAATTCTTAGCTTTTATAAATGCTAAAAAATATATATAATTTTCCGAATTTTTTTTTGTCTCGAGCATTAATAGTCCCATACTGACAGAATATTTTTTAACTTTTGAATGATCACCCCTCGGTGAAAAGTATTTCCCCCCTTTTTTTACCAATTTTGTAAAAACCGCATCTTTGAAAAAAAAAATGAAAAAAAACTTCAAAACGTGAAAGCTATTCAGTGTGAAATGTTTTCAAGAATCTATAGATTTTCCATCTATCTCAGTTTGTTGAATTGGATTTGACGCTACTGGCATAAGAAATAACATTTTAGGACCTCGCGAATTTTTGTAACTCAAAAATATCTGCTTTATTTGGGGAACTTGATATCTATATTTTAACTTTCATTTTATATTTACAATTCATTCGAAAAAAATATCTTTTCTTTTACAATCTAACTTTATTGCAATATATAATGCTTACATGTACTTGTACTACTGTTTTTGTGACATTTTTAAAGTCAAATAATAGATATTAGAAATGGTTTCTTTTTTTATTATTAAAAAACATATTTAAGCCTGAATTGATATTTATTCGAATTTGGATTTATAAAACAAAGTTTCAAGTACTTCTTTAAAACTAGTCAAGTTTTAAATTTTCAAGTAATTTCTGGTAATCAAACTATACAAAACTCATAAGTAATCTTACAAGTTTTATACGGCTTAGCGTGGGATGTGAGTTTTTCTTTTGGATCGAAATGTTTATTCGGTGTAAATAGTTTAAGAATCTTATAATTAATTTTTTATACATAAATGGGACTTCATTGCCTTTTTATCTTTATATCGAAGGATTAATTTTTTTTAAAAAATTGCATAGCTTTTGACATTCATTAAAAATCTTGTTTAATCAATCTTGCTGAAGTCAAAGTTAACAATGGATTTATAAAGCATTCTAAAGTAAAGCTAAAAAATTTTCGTGCATTTTTATTTGATTTATACTAGTTCGTATTAGACGCAGTATTAAGGCGCATGTTTATTTTATTTTATGAAGAACTACATTTTAGAAAATGCTCTGTTTGATATGTACAACACCGAAATTAAAATTTTCAAGTAATGCATTGAAAAAACTTTTATTTTTAAAACAATTTTGAAATCGAAGTCATGCATTTAAAAGCAGTTTAAATTGAAATAATTCATTATTGGATCATAAATATTAGATTACTCCAATCACTCATCATCATCATCTTTGGACTAGTTTTTCGCATTTTCGATCCATATTGACGTTTTTGTATGATTATTTCATTTATAATTAAGTATTTTTATTCTTTAGAAGCTGCTCAACCTACATCGTTAAAAGTTTGTATTTTTTCCTTTAAAAATATATAATGAAACATTCTGAAAGATTGAAAAATCCAAACGTTGTCGATTATTATTAAATTAATTTTTTAAAAAAACAATACATTATAAACATAAGTTTTGCTAATTTTTTGAAAAAAATAATTTTGTAATTATAAGCAAATACAATTTTGTACGTTTAAATATTTTCAGAGATATGACAAAATAATTGAAATTAGATTTTCCAAAATGCAATTGTCAATGCACTGAGAAAATAAAATCTGAAAACAAAACAACGCTTATATCGTAAAGACATTTCTGGCAGAGTAAAAATTAAATAAAAAGTGGTTTTTATTAATAAACAATAAAATTCATGTATTTAAATTTTATATTGACTGCTTTGTTCGTTGTTAAAATGATTGATTGGAAATTCCGGCTTTGAAAATTATCTTTCTTTGAAACAATATGTTTAGCACACTTTAAGTTCTTATTACCCAGGCATTAAGTAAAAATGTAACATTAAAAAGTAAATTTAACAAATTGAAATGATTATATCGTTATCACGCCTTATTCTGTATAATCGGGAAAAATTACCTGACTATTTGTCAGATCATATTGTTCATTTTACCACTCATTTGATAATTTTATGACTTTGATGTCAATGGAATAGAATGGTAATGGACTTTATCATTGGTTTGCAATGTATTATGGTGCATTTTTTAAATGGCCACACTCTTTTAATGGGTGTTAGATAATGTAGTTTATAATTATGTCATCTCTTTATTTATGATTTCTTTATACTTCCCATTTAAATTATTATTTCTTTTCCAATTTTTAATTTCCCCAATAGACTTCTCAATTAGCACATAGCTTGTTAAACATATTGTCATTTTTATGCGATAGATAATGGAATTTCTTTTTATTAATCGTAAATTAACTGTAGGACTCAAAAATATTAATATTTAAAACCCAGTATTAATTGTTTAAAATCCAAGACTTTTGACAATAGAAAGGAAACATAAATATTCCTAAAGAATTTACAATCAAAATATATATTTTATAAAATAAATTAAAGAGTCATTTTAATTTTATGTGAAATTGCATTATTTATTTAAATATATTTCTGGAATTTGATTACTACATTAAAAGTCGAAGTATGAGCAAAAAAAAAGAGTGGGTATTGAGAACTTCTCACGCATGAGTGGGAAGGGGTTTTCAATTTTCTTATTTTGATGAAAAGGTGTTTATTTAAATTATTAATATGCCAAAGTAGTTAAAATTTCTCATTTCAAAAATTGAGGAAAATTATAATGTTCTTCGACGACTATTTTATATTTTCATAGGACGATACGCCGTCTGTCTTCGGGTAATTTAATATATATAACGAAATAGTAGCTTATAAATGCTGATAAAACGTTGCGTGAAATTTTGAAAGTAAACAAAAAAAAAGTAAAAAATTAAACAAGGCTATTACAGTTTCAATAATAGTGTCAAAGAGCACAAAGTGGAAAATTTTCTATCTCAAAATTATAAAAAAAAATCAATTTGAATTTGGTTTCAAACTACAATAAGAAAAATATTTTTTTTAGATTTTGAGAATGATTATGAATAACGAAAGAATACTCTTGCAATGCGAAAATTTGCCTTCCTTACGAGACAAAAATGTTTAAATTATTATTACATTTAACAATTATTAAAACATACTTTTAAGCACTTCTGTGTTAATATTTTTTGACTTGCTGAAGTAGTTCTAGAAATATATACATAAAATGAAATTACAGCTAGAAGATCAAGCGTTTTTATAACTTAACTATTTGGAACTTATTTTTGTGGTTACTACTTTTAATTTGAGTGAAAAATAAGAATCCCTCTTATAAAACAAATATGTTTACCAAGAAAAAGTACAGTATTAGCTCGTTATTA